GAATGTATTGGGCAATGCAACTGTGTATCCCATCTCCTATCAATAATCTCGCAATAGTGCCTGAACTTGGGCTTTGTATACTTAAAAATTGCAGAAACAGCCTCCTATGCCTATCCATTGCATCATAAATGTAACTCATGGCAGGCTTGGTATTACTATCAACAATCCTTAGAACCTTCACCAAAGACTCCTGGACTGTAATAAACTATGTTCCAATAGTATCCATGAATTCATCCTTTTGCGAACCTTGTAATTGTAGGCCTCACTAGATCTCTTTCATTAGTGTGCATCCTCTTTGGATTGCAGAAAAATGAAGGATTGTATATAAGTTTTGTGATCCTTCGGGTCCAATATACAACTTCCAAAACATCATCCATCTTTCTAATGTCCTCAAACATTAGATACATACAATGAGCAGTGCATAATGTCAAAAACAGGTGGGTAATGTTGTTGCAGAAACTGCTTCTAAGGGAGTAGTTAGTTTCATTCTCTGTGATAAATTAGAGCATATTATTTGGCCCTGCATATCATCAACTTCCTTAAATAAATGTAATAATGCCTCCCTTGTCTTCCCAAAACCTGAGGCATTAGTTGACTTTGAGAATAGCTAACTGATGCAGGGAAATTTGTGGGAACAGTAAAATCAGCAAGAAACAAAACTAAACACGAGCATAATTCAAAGAAACCTAGGGTTTCTTCTCAATACCCCAAGCTAGGGTTCCAAAAGCCTAAGCTTTTCTCTTTTCAATTTCTAAAAATCATGTGGAATTGACCCTCTCAAGGCCCCACACACCTTATATATTAAAACTCAATGTTCAAAGGCATTACATGTCTATATAATGATTAAAATGACTTATATATCCTAACTTAAACTTAAATTTTGTAATGACAGTTTTACCCCTATGAATAGTACCTATGAACAGTCTTCGTGAATTATACTCATGAAATAAATAAAAAACTATAAAAACCCTAGAATTTTTTAAAATTAAAATATACATCCTTTAAAGTTGAATAAAAGTAAAAAATAAAAATAATTTTGCCGTCCATGACTAACCTTGTGATATATACCAAAAGTTTGATCAATTGTGTATGTCTCCCATTTGTCCAACCATCAGCCATGATTGAGCAGCCATAACTAGCCCATATCTCTTTGTATGCCTCTATGTAAACCCTTGACCTCTCCACATTCCTCTTCAACAACAAACTTCTAGCTCCTTGGAACTTGAGGGCATGGTGTCCAACAGAGATTGAAAATAGGAGTTGAGGGCATTAAAGGAATGCAAGAATCATACATCCACTGGGTCAGAGATATGTGTTCCCTTTCACTGCCTTCTTCCCAGCCAACAAACTTTGATTGTTGGCTGGGCATCAAGTGTTCTCCTTGGTGGAAATAATCTCCTATCACATTCTGCTTCCTAGGCTTACTTGAAGCACTTGTGCAAAACTCTTCCCCCCTCTCTGTTTAACATTGTACTTGGGTCAACTTCTTCTTGCAAGCCAAATGCTCCTTCACGTGGTATACATCCCCTCCCTTCAATTGGAGAATTTCAATTTTAAGGTGAATTTGTCAAGGATTTATTCGGCATTGTTGTCTCACTTGTATAAAAAAACAAGGAAGAGAAAGTGGCTTCTGAGAGAGAAATTTTGGGGCAGATGAAAAAAGAACCCAAAATGGTGGTAAATAATTGGAATAGGAATATCATGTGATTTTTCAAAAAACTGGGCATATCTTGATTTTGGGCAGAAAATTGTGCAAAATCGCTACATCGAACATGGAGATTCTAGACAAATTGTTCCGACTCACCAATTTGGGCAAGAATCAACAAGTGACCAGGCAACTTCGACTTGGGTAGCCGATTTGTAAATCACTAGATGGGGGAGTCAAGGCTGAATTTATGCCCTTTCAAGCTTTTTTGGTAGCATATAACCAAGACTATGGGTGGTAATTGGGTTGGATTGACCCGCCAACCAAATGGGTCAGCTTGACACGGGTAGCTTAGGTTTGGGTCCAAATAACCTTTAGCCAATCTAGGTCGGTTTTGGGTTTTGGTCCATCCTGACCTAACATAGACACACACACACATATCATCATCATCATCATCAAAGCTCTTTCCCAACTAATTGGAGTCGGCTACATGAGTTCTGGTTTGCCATTCTGCTCTGTCAAGGGCCATACTTTCAGTGAGGCCGTAAGTCCTCATATCTTTTCTCACTACTTCCAACCATGTCCTTTCGAGCCTACCCTTTACCCTTTTGAGCCTTCCACCTGAACTAACTCGCATCTCCTAACAAGTGTTGTATTGGGTCTGCACTGCATATGACCAACCCACCTAAGTCTGCTTTCTCTCGTCTTATCACTTATTGGTGCCACACCGAAATTCTCTCGAATGAATAAAATTCTATCCATTCTTGTCTTGCCACTCATCCATCTCAACATCTTCAACTCAGCTACACTCATTCTATGAATATGTTGTTTTTTGACACCCAGCATTCCATCCCATAAAGCAAAGTTGGTCTCACAATTGTTCTATGGAACTTGCTCTTCAGCTTTATTGATTTGTAGTGATCACATAAAACTTCAGTTGCACATCTCCACTTCGCCCACCCAGCTCTAATTCATGTGTGATATCCTCCTCAATTTCCCCATTTTCCTGGATCATCGACCTAAGATATCGAAAATGCATTCTTTTTGGTATTTCTTGGCTGTCGATCTTAACTACTTCATCGTCTCTACTCTTATTATTACTAAACTTGCATTCCATATACTGTCTTAGTCCGGCTAATTTTAAGACCTTTAAATCATAGAGCATCCCTCCAAAGTTCTTTGTGTTGATGCCGTTTCGGATCTCATCGATTAAAATTATGTCATCCACGAACAATATACACTACAGTACCTCATCTTGCAGGTGCCTAGTTAAGTCTTATATAGTACTTCATCTTACAGGTGCCTAGTTAAGTCCTATATATATATAATATTTAGGTATATATTCATCAATATTACAAAGTATTTATAATAAAATACCTAAACTGACCGGGGTCTGGATCTGGTCTGGGTCCCAACCTATCCAGTAACACCCCTAAGCAAGATTGCCTCATCTCCAAGTCTTGTGAAGCTTTGGGAGATCTTATTGTGTGAGGTCCAAGATTTAGGCGAGACTTAAATGACATTGAAGTTGACAATCTTCAGGCTCTTGAACTTTGGTTGTGTTTCCGCCTCGAGGAGTTTGGGATGGTGAGGACCTTCATACTTGAACTTTCAGTCTATTCGCTTTTATCCCTGGTTTAGGGAAGGGTAGAGTGGTCTGAGCATCAAACCCCTTGGGATTATTCACAGCATCTTTGCTCTATCAAGTCCTCCTCCCTGCTGGGCCAGCAAAGGAAGCCAAGTGCCCACCGATATTCAAGTGTTCAACTGGTTGGCAATTGGCAATAAGCCCCTTACAGTTTGCAGGCTACATATAGAAGAGTCTTCAGGTTGGACGTAGAAGATCTGAGTAGAGTGCTGCTGATCTATTCATCCACTGCCCTTTTGCTGGGAAATTGTGATCCTTCTTCCTCAATTTGTTTGGTATCACTTGGGTCACGCTGGACACCACTTTACATCTGTTTTCCGCAGATTTCTCCCCCATCCCCTTTCAGCCTCAGGGCTATACCTGTGCCGTCGCCTATATTATAGCCCTAATATGGTATACCTGGTTGGAGAGAGAGAAGAATATTTAAGGGCCGAACACGAAGGGACAGCATGAAGCCAATGGTCATAGATTGGGCAAGAACACGAAGGAATATCAGAGGGTGCTCTACAACAGACTTTGTCCTAAACTGGGGAGCGATTTCCAGGTTAACACTAGGTTGATCCCTAGATCTCCCCCCTGGATCACTATGGCACCCAGAAGCTCAACTTCAATGGATGTTCCTTGGGCAGCCCGGGCACAGCAGGGGTTGGTTCATCTTTTATGACTCTCCGGTTGCCACCTTCTCTCTTTCTCGGGTCCTATAGGCGAGGCCATTTCAAGCATGCTTGAGGCTAGGACTCTTCCTGAAGGATTGAAGCTCCACAAGCAAAGGTGGGGTTCCCTTGTTGATTGAAGGTGTATCATAGTAAGCTGGGCAAACAAGTTTCCCCCCGCCTGCAGCCCCTAGATCCAGTTTTTTAGCAGATTTTTTCAATTGTATGCCTTGTTTCAGGTTTCTTTTCACTATACCTTGCGAGAAGCTCATCATACCGTTGATTCACTTTCCCAACAAGGGGCTCCTTTGCCAAGTTTTTGTTATTCTCTTCCTCTCAATTGTAGGGCCTCCCTCCCCTGTTCCCTATGAATTCCCACCAAAACGTTTTGCTGAAGAAACCCTTGTTTTCTATGAGTTTTACAAACCATGTTAGATTGCTCATTATTTGTAACCATGTAAACTGTATGTATTATGTATTGCCTTATTTGCCTATAATTACAATACCTTCAACTTCAAAAAAAAAGCTGTCTCCCCCATTTGAACACTTCTTAGGAAAAAACTATCTATACGCAATATTATGATGAAAACTTATTTGGAAATACGTGCTGGATAAACCTGCCATTATTGATCTCCATCTGTCTTGTTACTGGTTATGGACTAACTAGCTCATCCATCGTAGTAGTATGAAAGATTAGCTCTTGGGGAAACCAAAAAAGGTAAGGGAAATTAACTATTAACCAAATGGACTATGGAAATCCATTGCGTGTTGGAGTATTACCATTGAATCACATTCATACAGTTGCAAGAGAGTGGGGCTTACCATCTCATCGGGCAGGGTGACCCCAATGAACTATGATTTTCCATTGTCCATTAGATTATGATATTCTTCCCAAAAGGCAAACGCTTTTCCCAATAGGGAGAAATTGTGTTCTCCTTTTCTACAGTTTATTCTTGGTATCTGTGCTTTGTTACTCTCATTTAGGGAATTACCTCCCTGAGTGAGTGATAGAGGTTTCATATAACAACTATATTCTTGTTTATTCACTGTGCAGCGGATACAATACGCAAAGACAAAGTCTGATTGTATCGCAAAAGCCGATGGAACATATGTTCCAAGGGAAAAGAAAAAGAAGCAGGAAGAAAAAGGTGACCTGCTTTTACCTCCCCTTTTTCCTGTAGCCAGTTGGATTATAATATACTTTCACTTCATATTATCCTTTTTCTTTTTTCTTTGGTGATGATAATTTTTTTCCGCTTGTTTTGTAATATTTCCAATTTAATATTTATTTTGAGATATCTGATTGTTGTTTCATGACATTCGTTGTGGTCAGCCTCTGTCTGCCATTTATATGTGTTTTGTTCTCTGAATTTGATGAAATAAAATTTAGGATTCATGTTTCAGAAAATCACTGAGAAATGATACCAATCTTCCGTACCTCTTGTGTTGTATCTTTGGAGCCCAATTCAGTTTCTCCATTCAATGAGGTAGTTCATTATAAGGAAAATTGTTTCATGCGGGCCGGACCGCATTTCTACATATGCGGTCCAGTAAGTGTAAAGTATCCCTGTTAAAGATGGATGCAAGTAGGTGTTCCATCTAAAAACAATGGAAACTAACGGTCCAAATATTTTCTTACTAGAATTATTATTTTTAGTTCATATTTATGATCTCCATGTTAGAGATTAAATGTCCTAAAAAATTAGGTCTAAAAATCCATCTCAAAGATAGATTTATTAAGAGGCTCGCATTTCTACATTTGCGGGCTTGGCTGCATAGAAACCGGGTCCTCATTATAATTGGGATGCCAAAAATCTGGTCTCTCTTTTTTCCTATCCATTAAACCCTTTTTAATTTTAATTTATCACTCAAATTTCAGAAGTCGATGCAGCCAATGCTCTTTTCCTTTTTTGTTTATGTAAGCTGTAGGTATCGAATTGGGGATGTAGTGTTGCAATTGTCGACCACTAACTGCTAATCAGTCAAGCCCTAGCCCAAATCTTATTCAGCTAGTATTCTTGTTCTTTGAGTTTATTATTTTTGTAGTGTTCATTGTTATTTCCATGTTTTTATTTGAGAATCTTACTTCTTATGAATAGATTATTTGGTTTTAGACCCTACATTGCTGTAAATCTTGTGTTTAGGATTGCATAAACTGGTTTATTATTGTTTGACTGTGATGATTATCCTATTGCAGCTGAAAAGAGGCGCAAGGCAGAAAATGAAGCAGAACAAACTGCTACTAATGTCGTGCAGAACAATGGCACAAATAATGTGAGTTATCCCTACACTTCCATCTAATCCTTATTATTTTCCTGATAAGGACATCATTTATCTATTTTCTGATATATGATAATTCCATTGGAGTATAGAAATGTTAAAATGAGGAACAGGCACTAAATGACTCATAAAGAAAACTGAGACCTGTCCATTGTATAGTAAACAAACTCCAACGTGAAAGCAAGTAGTGAATCAATAATAACCCAATTCATGTGGAATAAAACTCTGAATACTTATCCATATTAGCCATGAACAAGCACACACGAACAAGTGGATATCTACAATGTTCCTAGCTTGCTTGCAACGAACATGCACAGTTGGTGCCTAGAACCCTATACCCTGCAAATAATCAGTTAATGCCTACAGAAAAAATGCTCTTTAGGAGAAGTCTCAGTCTAAATTTTTCCCTGTGGACAACCTCTATTCATTGTTCATTTTTTTTAAGAAAATGATACAATAAATGCATTGTCCATATCTCTTTCCTGGCATATTAACAAAAGGTGTAACTTTTTGTCTGATTATTAAATACTTTATATGTGCTATATGTTGGTCTTTTACAGGCTTCTCATACTTCCCGCCCAGGAAAGCCTGGTGCCCAAGAGGGTGCTGCATCACCAAATAGCATTCTTTTCATTCAGAATTTGCCTCATGAAACAACGAGTATGATGCTGCAGATGCTCTTCCAACAGTACCCAGGTTTTAAAGAGGTGAGAATGGTTGAAGCAAAGCCAGGCATTTCTTTTGTGGAGTATGCTGATGAGATCCAGGCATCCATAGCCATGCAAGCTCTCCAAGGTTTCAAGATCACTCCTCAGAACCCCATGGGCATCACTTACGCAAAGAAGTGATCGAAATTTCAGTATGTTTTCCCTCTCTCCATCTCTCATCATTTCAATGACAACATTGACAGCTTTTTGTCTCTCGTCATACTTTATCATCAAACGTATTCAAGTAGTCGGAGTTTTGTGTTGGTAGGCATTGTAAAATTTGGGTGGAGTTTGATTATGGGAGCCATATTAAGATGTTTTTTTTGGAACATGTTTCTCTCACAGTTTTCATTTTAAGTGGCCTTTGTATTACCCTCAGTCTCAACCATTTTCAGAAATAGAGATTGGTACACTGCTGATTTTGTTCAATACTTGTTTAACTTTGATTTGATTTTACAGAGAATTATGTTTGGGCCTTGGGCTTCGCTATGGCCCACCCAGATGGCATCGTCTTTTGTTTCTCTCTCATGTTACCCTCTCAAATCTGCAAGCAAAAATGCCAACCATGCCTATGCCTGTGAATTCCCACTTCATGAAATACCATGGGTCTCATTTCGCGACCACATTTTGGCCACACTTTGTTAATCTTGAAAAAGCCAAACACGAAAATGAAAAGAAACCAAAATTTGGGCTTTTTTTTTTTTGGAATAGTGCCAATTCTAAATTTGCAAGGTATGACACTTCTGCATCATGCGAACAACTTAGACAGCCCCGATTTTAATAAAGTTCTCCATATGCTACAAAGGTCAATTATCCTTCTATTTAAAACATGTATAAAATTATGGTCGTGGCGTGTCCTAAGTTTTTGTTCTCTATTCTTTTTTGTTTAATGAGCCCTCGTCTAGAGGTGTCCAAATTAAACTGATTGCAATTGTCCATTTTTTCAATTAATAAATGAGGTGACTGCCGAATGATTAGAGATAACTAAGAAAGACTTGAAAGATTTTCCAATGTATAATCCGAAACTCCGTTAATCTTTGATGTGATGCTTAGAAATCATTAAAAAAAATTCTTCTTTTTAAAAGGTGGGGTCTCTGCACTGTTAGAGCTTCCAATATATGGAGGAAATTGTCCAAACAATGTATCCCTAATGGAAAATTCACCATAATCTATTAAGGGTGAGGTTTGTACTATTGAAGTAGGGTGCACCTCAAAACTATGTGGAAAATGCAGTTCCGGTGCCGCTAAGCCTTGTGATGATATGAAAATCTATTGTTGCGTCCAATTATAAAATTTAAAGTGCCAAAAATGGTGACGGTCAAGTAGATCTATAAACACTAGAAAATCTCCAAAATGGACGGTCTAGATAATACGTTAGAAGATGAATATTTTTAGGATTAGAAATCTCATTTCTTCATGTCTATGAATCTCGAGGTCAAGATGATCGGTATGAAGGTTTTTTTAGCATAGGAACAACCTTATGTAGTGGTTTTTTAGGTGCACTTACTTAATACCTTGTATAAACTTTTTCTCTTTTTTAAGGGTGCGGTTTGTATAGGGCCGAGGCTCTAAACAATCAAAGTAAAGCGCACCTTCAAAAAGTATCTAGAAATGTCGTTTTAATACCGGAAGTCTTTATGATAGCCTTAAATTTTATGTACATATCTAATTATAAATTTAAAGCTTCAAAAATAGTGTAGATCAAACAAATCTATGCAAACTTTAAAAAATCTTGAAAATTGAAAGTGCAAAAATGCATTACAAGATATACTATTTCCAAAATTTGAAATCCATTTGTTTCTCGTATCCATGCATCTTGAGGTCGAGATGATCAATTTGAGGATTTTTTAGCAAAAAAACAACCTCTTCTAATGAAATTTTGAGGTGTGCTTTAATTTGATTGTTTAGAGCCTCGTACTTATAAACTTTTGACCTTTTTGTAATGTTAACAATAATGGTGCTGCTAGGTATTATTAGTATATATATAATCTGTTGTATAGGAGTTGTGATGTTGCGGTTGTTGGGTACCATGTTGCTAGTAACTAACACCATATTCTACTCCTTGAATGAAGAAAACTTTAAGGCAAAGACACATTATTATCTCCCATGGATCACTACTCAAATCTCTCTTATTGCGGGCCATGAATAAAGAAATGTCACCGTTACCATGTAGATGACCTCTTCACGTGAAATACATTAATAGGATACCATAATGTGTACATAGTATATGTTTATGGCGAGAGAGGGAGAGTGGGGCCATAGTTGGAAATGTTTACTAATTTCATCATGACTCATGAGGAATGTTGGGATCTCTTGGTTGATGATGTGATAGTAAAGGATAAAAATTATATAAGGTTAAAACCTTAAAAATGTAGAATTAAGGTACATTTAAAAAATCCATTGAAAAAGATTATTTTGATGTTGGGAAAACATCCAGCCGATCATCGAGATATCGAGATGTATGGATATGGATGAAAGAAATATTTTCAAGCCCCCCAAAAACGTACAACTTGTAGGACATGACTTAGATAATCTATTTTCAAGCTTTTTATGCATTTATAGGTATGCTTGATTTTAACTATTTTTAGAGCTTAAATTTTATAATTAGAGATCAAAATAATATCTCCAAATTCTCGCGCCATCCTAAGAAATTTTGGCACCAAAATTGTATCTCATGATAGAGTTTGGAGGTACTCCTTTATTTTAATTGTTTAATGTTGCAACCTCATGGAAACCACGCCCATTGATAAAATTTGTGCTCTTGAAAAATTGGCACTTATTTTGTAAAAAAGAGCTAAAGGCTTATTTATGTTCCTAAATGTGAATAAGGGTTATGTTAGGGTATTCACACTATTGAGTATTTTATAATTGTACTCAACAATTTTGGATATATATATATTCTTGTTTTGTAATATAATATTTTTTAGTAAGGGTATTTTTAATCATTATGAGAGGTATGACATCATTCACATGAGTGTGACATTACCTACATGAAACAAACTAGTGGCATTTAATACTCCATGTAGGTATTGGTACACCGGTGTGAAAGATGTTACGCCCCTCATAATAATTAAAAATAACCTTGCTAAAAAAAACGCGTGGTACAAAATACAGGTATATGAATATTTAAAATTTGTTAAGTATAATTGTAAAATGCTCTATAGTATGTGCACGTACCCTAACATAGCCCTGTAAATAAATATCGATTCCTAAAATAGTAAAAAAGAATAAACAAAAATTCTTGTTCATTGAAGGAAATATGGCCAAGATGATCAAAGAGACTAAGGAAGAGTGAACGCAATGACTAAAAAAAATGTTAAATTGCAATAATATAAAAATTAAACTTTCGAACAAGTAAGACAAAATGACAAAAGTGTTCCAATTAACTCAGCATTCCAAAAAAGAAGAAAACAAAAAAAGCGATCCTGTTAACTCGCCCTTAAAAAGGAAAAAAAAAAAGAAATTGAAAAATGCGAAGAAAATGCAAGGAAATAGCGAACTTAGGGCTCAAACGCTCGGCACATGAAAACAAACTCACGTTCTTGTCATCCCATGAACAAGCCAAGCGCCATGTGCTTTCCCCTCTCCACCTAACTCAGAAACAAGCAACCCAACAAAATAAATAAAAGAGAAAATACGAATATTTGACGGTCCATGTTCGGTCTAATCGTAAGGTGTGATGATATATATAGAGAGAAGGCTAAGAATTTTTCGGATCGGGTTTGGATCTACCTAGATTTAAATTTGGATCCAAAAAATATATACAGAATTTGGATTTGGAATGTATGGATCCCCTATCTATGAGATCCAAATTTGAATTGGATTTGGATTCTCGACATTCTAATCTAAAATGGAGATTAGGTCTTTAAAAGTAAAAATACATTATATACATTATATAAAGGAAAAGTTTATATAAAGTTGCAACCTTAAAATGTAGAATTACAAATGCACTTTGAAAAATCCATCAGAGAATGTGGTTTTAATGTTGAAATACCCTCTAATTGATCATCTCGACATCGAGATGTATGAATACGAAAAAAGGAAAAAAAAGATTTTGAGTCCCTTAAATAATGCATCTTGCAACACATTATCTAGATCGTCTATTTCCAAGAATTTTATATATTTATAGATCTACTTGATTTTGACAATTTTTAAAATTTTATAATTAGATATAAAAATAGATTTTGAGATAATCGTAAGAATTTTTTACACCAAAATGACATGTTAAGATAAAATTTGGAGGTGTCTTAATTGGATTGTTTAAGGTTGCAATCTTATAAAAACCACACTCTTATATAAATTAATAAAATAATTAATATATATAATATATTTTAATAACCAGAGCTATATCGGATTTATTTGTACTCAAATTCGATCCGAATAATAATTTTGATTCAAGTTTAAATCTAAATCCCAATAAGATTTAAAATTCAGGTTTTGAATCGAAAGCGAAAGGGATTTAAGAGAGAGATTATGTCCTCGGAAATTTCGTAGAAAAGCGTGTTTTTTATGAGAAAAAAAAAATTGTGAGGACTTTTGGAGTGCCCCTTGTAATCATTAAACGCGGGGGGAGGTGAAGAGGAGGCGGGAAATTAGAGAGAGAGAGGGAGAGACGGGGGAGGTGATTTAGAGTGAGGGGGCCTCCAATAGAGAGACGTTAGTGGGTTGGATTTGGAGTCCACCGGGGAGACAAAAAAAACCAAAGGACACGGCCGAGCGAGAGGAATACAGTGAAGAGAGAGAATCAGTAAATACGCAGAGAGGCCTTTATTGGAAGGTGTAAACCCCCAACACCCGCCATGAAATAAATTATATCATTAAATACACAGACCGCATTTTCACTCCACTCCACCTCCCTCCACCACCCACACCCACGTACCATCTCTCTCTCTCTCTCTCTCTGCATTCACACCTTTCAAAAACGCACAGCCAGGCCTCTCTTCTCTCTCCCCTAACCCTCTGCAAATTCAAAATCTCTTCGCACTCTCTCCTCTCTCTCTCTCTCTACATGACGGGCTAACCAGAAGCAGAGTCTCAGAGGAACAAAGCGATGCCTTTGGTGAGATACCAAATAAGAAGCGAATATGGGTTGGCTGATCCGGAGGTTTACAGAGGGGCTGACAAGGACGACCCTGAAGCTCTCCTTGAAGGGGTTGCCATGGCCGGTCTTGTCGGCATTTTGCGCCAGTTGGGTGACCTAGCTGAGTAAGTCTCTCTCTCTCTCTCTCTCTCTCTCGCTCTCGTTTCTGAATTTGGGGGTTTCTTGTTCTTCCTTGCTCTCCTGGAAACTTGGGTAATTCCAATTTCAACAAACGAGCCTCTGTTTATCTCGTTCCTTTTTTCTTTTTAATTGGGAATTTGGTTCTAGTTTCAGCATGTGTTTCTTTGTGTGCTAAGCGTAATAAGGATTTAGTTTCATGAAAAATGGGTGAAATAGGTTTAGTTTCTGGATTTGAATGAAAATAGGATATGTGTTTTTTGTGCTCTCTCCTTCTTGGTCGGCGCTTTCACAATGAAATGACACTGCATTATGGATCTGAGATGGCTCAAATTACTGTTATCGAGGGCTTCTATTTAGATCTTGCATTTACATTTCTTCGTCTGATAGTTTAATCTTTTTGGATTGTTTGTTTCAATGAGATTTTTGGCTTGTACAATGTCTATTTTTAGTTTCTAGCCCTCTTGGGTCTCTGACAGCTACTTCATTTTCATAATGGAGTTTGCCATTGCTTTTCTACCCTTTTTGTCAACCTTATTGACTCGTTTCTTTTTCTTTAAAGGGAATAAATTGTTCTTTTGTCCTTTGCACATGAAGATTTTTGACGACTATATATGCCTCCTTTGATTCTTCCTCAGTCCTCCACGACGGTTTTGCCAGATGATATAATTACAAGTAGTTATAAAAGTTTATCAAACCGAGTTCTATACCTATTCCTCATAAGCATCTAGAACGTGTGCATGAAAAGTGGCGCTTTTCAATCAGTAGGATATTCCATTTGCTAAAGTTATCTCTTTGCCATTTAGTATCTTTTCTTGCATTAGGTCAAGTCGAAAGAAATCAGTCGACTGAGTGCTTGATATGTGACATTCATATCATTCTATTTGAAAAACCAAATGATTTTGAGGATTAATTGGTAACAGGCTATATGTTAATGCCACATTAGTCCTTCTTATTGGCAAATGACTATTAGTTAACATTCTTTGCACATTGATGAGTACTTTCTCATACATACAATTTGCCTGTCAGTGATACCCCGACATATAAGTAATTGCTCTTTTAAGAAATTGTTGTAATCATCAAAATGAGGGATTTTTCTAAATATGTAATTGTTATTTTTTATCAAATAGGTTTGCAGCAGAGCTTTTCCATGACCTACATGAAGAAGTGATGGCTACTGCTGCAAGGGGCCATGACCTTATGATACGTGTTCAGCAACTTGAGGCTGAACTTCCTTCTGTTGAAAAGACTCTTCTCTCACAAACCAATCAATTACAGTTTGCTTACACTGTAGGTTAGTATGATTTTTTATATATTTTCTTTTATGAATGGTATGCTTTCTGTGATTTTCACCAGAGAAAGGGAAAAGCTTCTCAGTCTACCACTTCAGGTGGAAATCTATTTTTTCCTGAAACTATGTTGGTTGTTACCTGAATAATTGCTTTAGTACTCTCCATGTGGGAACTTCTGTATGAGGTGTACCCGCATGTAAATTGATCTTTTTTTCTTCATTAACAATTCATGTGTTAATACCATGAAATTGGGTAAAAGAAAACTTGGTTTACATAATGGATTGCAATTCAATGCATTTGTCCAATATAAATGCTTGCTTGAGGTGCTCAACATAAACTCTAAAGTGCAAGTTAAAGTGGAAGGTGCAAGTTAATTCCTAGCGAAAGGCGCAAAATGGGAAAGGGGTAGGTCCAAAAGGACATGGTTGGAAGTAGTGAGAAAAGAAATGAGGACTTATGGCCTCACTTAGGGTATGGTCATTGATAGAGTAGAATGACGGACCAGGATTCTTGTAGCGTACCCTAAATAGTTGGGAAAAGGCTTTTGATGACGATGATGAATTAGAAAATTTAAAATAAAGAACAAAAAAAAAAGAAGAATGCCTATTCGTGAGTATATGGAGTTTTACTAAAAAGTATTTTTCATCTTTGTGACATGCCATTATATGACATGATTTCCTATGGGTGATCCCCGCTGCTTACCGCCTTCAAGATCTATTGTCTTGTTGGGGAACTATGTTCTCCGTCATTGTCCTTTGTTCTAGTGTCCTTCATATCTTTGGTTCATGCTGAAGTTGATATGTGTCATCTCCTGCTTCACATGGTACCAATTATGGCGTCCTGTGAAAGACATTTCCCTACATTCGTCTTCTAATTCTTAATGGAATGGATACATATCCTTTCTTGATTTCATATAGATTCACCTAAATAATGTATTTTTACCTTTACATAGCAGTTCATATGGTTGCTTGAATTAAAACTTTCACTATGCTCCGCACCAAATTGGTGATTTAGAGACAATTATTTATTTATTTATTTATTTAAGAATGTTCACTTTGTATTGAAACATAGACCGACTTTCCACTTAGTGGTTTACAAACCATGGGCTAAACCCTAAACGAAAAAGCAAAACCATATAGTACCTTGGTACATGCATGTGTCACTTAAAACAGTAACCTTGGTACGTCAAGTACATCTACATGTCACTTATTTTTTACATCCACTCAAAAGTAAAAACAAGTACAAAGCCACTCGTCACTCATTCTTACACACTACAAAGGTAAATAGTAAAACCACTCATAAAAAACAAATCCGCTTTTCATAAAGTAAACTGCTTCAGAAAAATAAAACTGCTTCAGAAAAACCATGTCTGGTTTCTTTGCGAGATATTTTGAGATGATTCTGGAGACTCCTCTGTTGACTCATCTTCAATATATTGCTGAATTCTTTGTAATGAGTCATACAAAAATGTCCTCCAGTTTGGCAATTCTTGCAATTTTTGAAATTTTTATGGAAGCTGTCTAGTAACTGCATTGATGACAGCGGTTTTATTCTTAATGCTTCATGATTATAAAGAATTTCATCTTTACATCTCCTGATAAAACCTTGCTCAGTAAGATTAATCCTTTGGAAATATTTGCATAAATCCGTTTCTCAATTTGTATATCTTACTAATTTTGTTATAAAATCTCTGGCAACATGATTAGGATATTAGCAAGTCATCCAAAACTGAAAATTAGCAAGTCATCCAATACTTCATTGTCAATAATTGATGCAATTAATTTGGGCTCTAAGGAAGCCCTTCTGAAATTGTTTATCATTATACTGATTCTTCCAGTAGAGGTGAGAAAGCAATCAATAGTAGGGTAATTTCCTGTAGTCGAATTAGTATTTTCTGGTTCAACTATTATAAGGGCGATTACATGAAATTGTTTGAATAACCATTCAAAGAAGATGAACTTTCAAAAGCAAATTTATATCAATTTCGGAAAATGGTGCACTCTCAAAATTTGTTACTAGTGCCAGCAAAAATTTCTACAGATGGAGGTGAAAATTGGAAAAAGTTAAAATTATTTCTTGATATTAGTGCTAACATAAATTTTTACACCAAAGAATTTTGGAAAAACTGGTGAAATATTCTCATGGACAAGAAGTTGATACTATGAATGTTAGAAGAAAATTAACAGAATTTGCCATTAATGTTCCTGTTAAAATTAGAGAAAAAGTAATTTTGGTAAATTTTGTTAATATTGAGGTTGGAGGATATCAAGCGGGAGTAGGTAGACTGCCGTTGGAATTTAGAGAAGAGAGAGAGAAAGTCACAGTAAGACCCAAAAAGTAAAGAGTAGAGAGGGTTGAGTAGAGAGAGAATGTCTCAGTGAGAGAGACTCAAAAAGTAGGGAATAGAGAGTAGTCTCCGTGAGAGAGGGAGGAAACCAATCTGCAACTATTTGGGATCCTATTATTGAAAGATTTAATAAGATATTGGATCTATGGAAGTCTAAAGTGTTGTCGTTTGGAGGAATATCTACTCTTATCAACTCTACTTTGTCCAACTTACCCATCTATTTTATGTTAATTTTCAGAATGCCAAAACAGGTGGTGAAGACTTTGGAAACCATCATGAGATATTTTTTATGGGGCAATGTAGGAATGGGAAAAAAATTGAAACTCGTGAATTGGGAAAAGGTATGCACTTCCAAGAGAGATGGGCGTCTAGGAGTTAAGAAGCTCAAATTGATGAACACTAGCCTATTGAATAAGTGGTGGTGGCACTTCTAAAATCAGCAGGATAGCTTATGTGGAAAGGTGTTAAAAGAAAAATATGGGGTAGATGTATTGACTGGCCTCATTAAAAGTCCAAGATCTAAAGTTGGTTTTTCAAGTATTTGGAAAGGAATTGATGCGTGCCGATCATTATATTTTAGTCATTGTTGCAAAGTGGTTGGAAAGGGAGATCAAACCTTGTTCTGGTTTGATAAGTGGTTGGGACTCCTTACTCATTGAGAGTCTTTCCCTGAGGTCTTCTCCAAAGTCGACAATCCATTGGTCTCAGTGAAAGATCTCAGAGGAGCTGATTTTACCAACTCTTTTTGGAATATTGTTTGCTCGTATAGGAAGGTCTCGAATTCTTTCTTTCATGAGTTCCAATTGCTTATAAATTTGTTGCATAATTTTTTCTATGTTCCCAATAAAGATGATTGATGGGTGTGGGAACTCACAACTTCAAGGGATTTTTCAGTCAAGTTGATAGAACTGCTGCATGAGGAGAATCACAGAGCGACTGATCATAGTTTAGCAAGAATATAGAATTTGCAGGTGCCGTTGAAGGTTTAGTTATTTTTGTGGGTAGCTCTTCAAAAAAAGCTGCCTACTGTGGATAACCTTTGTAAGAGAGGTTTCATAGTTGTCAATGTTTGTAGGCTATGTTTGAGGGATAACGAAAATGTGGACCATATTCTTTTACATTGTCCTTTCACTTTAAGCATATGGGATTGGTGTAGAAAGTTGTTGAATCTAAATATCCTGATCCCACAAAGTCTAGAGTTGATCCTTTCTCAATGGATGAACCTAGGTTTGTCGAAAATTGGCACTGTGTTATGGAGAGATTTATGGGTGTGAACTATTTGGAATATTTGGAAAGAGAGAAATAGACGAACGTTTGAAGGAACACAAAGTGAGATTGAAGTTTTGAAGTCCAACACCTTAGCAACAACAACTGAATGGTTTCAACAAACAAGGATTGTAAGTTTATCCCAAAATCACAGATTTTTGAGAACCCATCTGAAGTTGCTAAGCTTAATAATGATAGACGGACTTGAAATGCTATTTGTATGCCTCCTCGTGTAAATTGCTTAAAACTCAACTTTGATGGAAGCTCGATTGGAAACCCAGGCCCAACAGGTTATGGTGCTACCATTAGAGATCATATGGGTAATTACAAATTCACCTACTCGGGACCAAGTGGACCTACAACAGTGAATGAAGCTGAGGCAAGAGCTCCTTTGGAGGGATTAACGATAATAAAGAACCTCGAGGGCCAAAAGATGATTAAAGGTTATTCAAGCAAATGTCATTGCTTGGGCAAAAGGAGAAATGAAGCCACCTTGGAGATTATGCAGTATTTTTCGATGAAATCTTTTTCATTTTAAGTAGTGGTTCTTTTGAGTTATCTCATGTTTTAGGGAAGCTAACATGGAAGCTGATGCTGTAACAAAGGGTGATGTGCACCAACATTCATTGGTGGTTACATCCTTTTCTTCTTGAACCTCCTTGTAATCGTTCATGGGTGAATGTAATTCATAGTAACTGATTTCAAAAAAAAAAGAGAGGGAACACTTTAAAAGAGAGGGTCTAAAGAGGGACTACAAAGACAAGTATGTCTTTGAATTTGAGAATACGAGAAGAAAGAAGAGAAAGGATTTAAATTGATGAAAAGGTGACAAAGAAAGTACATATGACTTTAATAAGATGTGGAAAGAAGTACATAAGACATCAATGAGATGAGACGTAAAGATAGTAGAGATAGTTGAGTAGAGAGAAAGAAAGTCTCAGTATAAGAGACTCAAAAAGTGGAGAGTAGAGAAGGTTGAGTAGATAGAGAAAGTCTTAGTTAGAGAGACTAAAACACTGAGGGATAGAGAGAATTCTTAATGAGAGAGGGAACACTTTAAGATAGAGAGTCTAAAGAGGGACTACAAAGACAAATATGTCTTTGAATTTGAGAATATGAGAAGAAAGAAGAAAAATGCTTTAAATAGAAGAAAATGTGAGAAGGAAAAGTACATAACACGTTAATAAGAAGTGGAAAAAAGTACATAAGACATTAATGAGATATGCATAATAATTGAGGAATTGGAAAAGCAAAGAAGAGAGACAGATTACGAGTGAGGAAAGAAGGCAATTGGATAAAGAATTTTAACGATGGGTAAATAATGAAGGGAGAGAGAAACACAAAGAATTTTTACGAACTCAATAATTGATAAAGAAGGGTTTACAGGAA